GACACCAAGCTAAGCATGCTCATCCCTAAGGTCCAGTGACAAACCCTGCACGCCCTCAATGATGCGGGATCTCACCTTTACTAATTGCTCTAATGGCTCACGGGCGATTCGCAAAGGACCGGCCGTCTTTCCCCGCAATTACAAATTTTCCATAGATTTGGAGTGAAGAGGACCGCACCCGAACCATTAAAGGGATGAAAGGTGTGGAATTTCTAATCATTTAATCGTTTCGGGGAGATCTCGACCGCAGTGGATGAGGAACTCTTCTTCCGGTTCCGCGATGGTCGAGAAATCCCCCAGGATGCAATCAGCCTTCAAGGTCACGATGGTACATTCGGACGATGAGGGGAAGGAAGGTCCTCGAGGAATGCGACGAGAAAAAATATTATATCGAGGGAAAGAGCACTCGTAACTCGCAAGAAAAAAAGAGCAATAGACACTTCTCGTACATGGCATAAAATTGAGACGTGCCTCTCCGACAAATTTTTTGCATGATGTTGCATTAACGACGAGGGGACGATTGTCATGCAGATCCAGTCGCTTCAGTAAATTAGACCGAGAGAAGACGTCCGAAGAGGCCTCGTCGACTCTCTCGAAGCTCGCGTCATCTTTCGCTCGAGATGCTTTCGCAATGGAAATGGAAAAGAATGGCTAAAATTCGTAAATTTCTAAAGCGACGAGATCTGATCCGAATCTGCGGGTCGTACTTGGCACTTGACGAGCGCCGAGGGATGCGAGTCTGCACGCGCGATCCGACGAGCAGAAATGAGGATGCAGGGAAGGGATCTCATCCCCGGCGTCTTTCGTCGGCAAATGAGAATCATGTCTAGAACGAAGAATTTCAAATCTCCAGAGCATGCAGTTTCCAAGTGTGAAGATGGTTTTGACCACAAGAGAAATTTCATTTTATGCCCGTGTGACATTTCATTCTTTTTTGGGATCATGGAGGTTTCCCGGCCCTCATTTATTTTCTTATTTCAGGAACATCGTGCCCGTTTCATGAATTTCGTCCCGCATAATTCATAGTTTTCCCAACTTTTTTAAAAATATTATTCAGAAACTTTCGGATTTCCCATCAATGCCCCGCGAGATCTGAAATCCATTTTCCCAACTATACTCGTATACTTCCACAGATTATTGCTAGATTACCCAAGCCGTTTCTGATTTTCCAAGACACAATGCAGGTTTTTTTTTCTGCAACTCTCATTCGCCATGGCAAAATGGAAATGACTCCCAAATGCTTTCTCGTCATCATGAGATCATCCGTTGTCAAGTTTCCTTGCACTGCTTTGACGCTAGTAATTCAAGGACTGACATTTTCGAAGGACATCACGACAATATTCCACGTGGTTAAGGGATGAATCGTTCCGAGTCCGTTTCCGCGGATTTCCTCCAATTTCTTTCATCATTTGATACGAAATGCGTCGGCCGACATCGCGAGGAGACCGATTTGTAATGAGGAAAAGGAGCAATAGCTGCGAAATTTCTCATGTCAAGAGAAGCAACAACGGCTTGAATGGACGGAAAGGGAATGAATGGAGGCTCCGATATGGGAGAAGGAACGCCGAGAGCTCACAGTCTCGTCTCTCCATCCACCCTCCATCCGCTCTCCATCCACCTTTCATCCACTTTCTATCCAGTCTTCACCCACTCTCCATCCATTCTCGCATCGCCTTTCCTTTTCTGTCCATGAAGGAGTTGCACCAGGAAATGAAGTATTCAGCCTCGGTGCCAAAAGACCATCGTCGTGAGTGTCTCATATCCTCACTGCAGTTTTATATGTTCGTGCTCGGAGAGCGAAACCTCAAATGATATGTTCCTATTTTGCTGCAAGGAAACTCCCATTTGCGACAAAATCCTTTCCTTCCGCCAATAGACTTCACCAAGCTTTCAATATTCCACAAATTTTCCCACGACGAGTATGTTTTCCTGCAAGTGATTCCTACTTGCCTCCGTCGTCGCTGCAATTTCCGGTCCTTGTCGTTTCCAACGAGGAATTCTTCTTGAAAGCCTGTAAGAGAGACTGTATGATTCGTAGAGGAGTCGTCTCGTAATGACTATCTGGCTTGCATCGAAAAATTCTTGCAATCGCGATTGGTCTCTTTCTTTTCTTCGCCTGCATTTTAGCCCCCACAACATAGCTTTTTTTTTTTACTCTGTACTCGGTCGGTCCACGTTTTCGTAGCCCTCGACAATCACAGGTTTTGCTTCGTTCTGCGAGCCGCGTCTCCCGAACCTCTTCGCCATAGGAACATGCGGAGCCTGCGACACGGGCACTTCCGGCTGCCTCGAGGCCAAACGGTCGAGAAGAGCGAAAAGGGGCAAACCCTTTCGCACCGCCTGTAGTCTGCATCCTTCTGTCGCCGAGGCTAGATGGCTCCGCATGGGAGGTACAAGAGGCACACTTGTCAGCTTCGTACCATCCTCTTCTGCGACGTCTGCTCTCTTGCGAATTTCCGTGCAATGTTCGTCGTTCCGACACTACTGCTTTCTCTCGAGCAGCGAAACCCAGCTTCCCCTTTGCTTCATGAAACTGCAGGCCAGATTTCGGACGCCCGTGCAGCGTTTGCCATTCGAAACGTGAATTCCCAGTCGTGTAAGAATTTTGCGGAATTCTCATTTTTGATAATCTAATTTTCGGAGCTCGGGGAGACGTTCCACTTTGCGATCGAGAAAAATGAGAAATTTCCATTTCCCCCCTGGGAAATAGTTACGTAGTTACGTGTCCGTTCCAAGAACGAATTGGAGAGAAAATTGATGAGGAAGCGAAAAAAAAGTTCCAGTTGTCGAAGGCAGATCCATTAAGCAAAAAAAAAAAGAAACTCGGAAATTCTCTCACTTATTTTGCAAAAAAAGTTTCATGCTGATGAGGATTCGTGTCGATGCTGGAAGGAAAAAAAACTTGTGCAGTTTTGAGTGGCCACACAAACCCACACGAGACACAGAGGGTGAAAAGCCGGATATTATGCAAAAAAGGCCTTTTTTGAACCGGGAGAAAAAAAAAGGACAGCGCGATACGGACGGCCTGTTTTTCATTAAATATTTCCCTCATCCTGCTCTCATCGATCAGGAGAGACGAACGAGAGAGAGAGAGAGAGAGAGAAATAATAGGTTCGGCGGGGAAAAAACCCACAAAAACTCGAGATTGAAAAGATGAAATTGAAAGGATGGAACCTGAAAGACCTCTCGCATTAGCAGAAAAAGACCTCCAAAGTGGATCAACATCCTCCGAGCACAAAGAGTCCTTACTTTCTAAGGGCACGGTTTTTCCTGACCTTGGAAGCAAGGAAATCCCAAATCTTATCGAGGAAAATTCAACGAATTTTGGAATCGAAAGTGAAATCCGTTTAGGGAAGGGACACAACCCAGCGGTTCCTCGAAAATTAATTATTTAATTTTAAAAAGATCTCTCAGTTACCCTGGCAACCGTATTTCTCACAGCTCCCCTTCCTTGACCTTGAAAACTCTTCCAGGATCTCGTTAGAAAGTTGAATAGGGATTCGATGAGACGTCGTTTTAGCCGAGAGCCCAGCTCGTTTGCATCAGGACTCTTAAGCATGTCATCTTTGAGTAATCAAAACTTTAAAAAAGAAGAAAATGAGTAGTTTTCTACCCTTTAAATTAAAGCACCTACAAACGGGACAGAGTTATGGTTATCCAAAAGTTATGTTTTTCAAACTCTTCAGCGCCTTTAGTACCACATTAAACATTTCGAATCATATCTAAAATTCATGCAGTTCAAGTGGCACCGGAACGTTAAATGTGTATGGAATGAACATTTTATTCGAGATATTGCCAACTTTCCAAGAACGTCCTTTTGCTCTCCGTGCAAAGCAAAATCCTTTCTCGCACTCGACTCCAACCCTCGGCGAAGCTAAATGTGCATAATTTGTTTTGACATGCTTCCCTATGGATTCCTGGAAGATGAACCATCCTCCGAACAATATCAAAGCCGGAGTTTTCAGAAGACTCCTTCGACTGGGTTAAATCTTTAGTCCGATTTGTTGAAGAATTCCAATGTCTTCCCTTACGGCGCATGTGTGGAAAGATCTGGCTCCGTATGGAAAATATTGTTCACTGGTTCCAGTTTTACCAGGTATTGACTCCCTATAGAGGCTACTTTACCATCATCTGGCGTCGGTTGTGCGAACCTTCGTTCGAAACCCTGCCAGATGGATAGCACAAATATGTTTAAAGAAAAGGTTGCTTTTACGTTCAACGAATGCACTTCAAAAACATGACGCAGTGGGCGATGAAATGGCACCTTAGCCGAGAACCCAAAAGCTGCTCATCCGAGAACATCAGACATCCGAAAATCTCTTCAAACACAGGTCGAATGTCCTCGAGTGAGTTCTTACGTCACCTGGGAGCATGGGTCAGTCTTGCAGTCTCTCCATTCTTTCCTCAGACCGATGAGAAAAAGCCGAAGCACCCAAGCAATTAGCAAAGCAATATCCCTTTCCAGCACTCCTTTTGAATCGCGGACTTCATGCGCACTTCATCGAGGCTTTTATATACCTTTCTCATCACCGATCGCCTCGCCTGACCATGAAAACTATTCCAAGATCTGGATAGAAAGAAGAGCGAAAGGATTGGAGACTCGAAGTCCCTGTTTCGGCAGAGAGAGAGAAGCGACTCGGATGCAGTGATGAGCGAGAAGTCGAGGCGAGGCGAGTGCCCTCGACCCCAAATCATCCACTCGCGGGAGATGCATACAGGAGAGCCAAAAGAAACGAACAGTGACGTCATACCTGCCTTCTGCTACGGTCTGTCGTCTGCTTCGCATCGTATCCGACTTGTGAAAGATCATTCGGTGAATACGCGAAACTCGTGCATCGCGGAAAATAATGAGTTTCAGTCGCAGGAACCTTTTTTGCCTATTGGCACAGAATTCAAAATGGCAAAATTCTGGATAATTAAAGAAATTTCTTGTTTTCTCGAAAAAGTCATCTGTCATATGGAATCTGTCATAAGTCATATGGAATGAATCGGACGACGACTTCGCTTCCCACCGTGTATTTTATTCCATCCCAGAACAGCCAGGACATTGAGCGTGATACACATACAACGATCGAGACCGAATTTGCGCCACTGCAGAGAAAGAGAGAGAGAGAAGAATAGAAAGAGAGAAAACGGTTGATATGGTCGCTTGACACGTTGACAACGACATTCCATCGAAGCCAGCTTGGGAACGATTTCTCACGGGCCCCTTCCGCCTTCTTTTATCTTTTGATCTATTGCTCGGGAATCGACCGCTATCGCCTGGGCATTGCGGCGTGTACGACAAAAAGGTTATGAGATTTTTCCACCGACGACAAAACACCTTTCCAACCGAAACATTTCTTAGCATCTCTTCCCTTTTTTCTTTTTAATCCGCTCAAGTCTCAACACACACAATAAATTAATATTTATCGTAATTTGTCATATCATTATCGTTATTTCTTTTTTTCATGATCGAGGAACTGAGCACCATGCGCGACACCGACGCGGCATTCCAAAGCTGGCCTGCTCGAGAAGAAAGTGATTTTTTTTTTCCATCTACGGCGACAGATGTCCGAACCTCGGCAAAACTGGGAAAAACAGGAAAGTGGGTTTCGAGTGCACGGCTGCAGAGATTCGCGTGGAATTCACACGGAGCACGTTCGAAGAAAAGCGAGTCGTCTCCGGCCGAGACCGGGAACGGACCGCGAAAAAATTTGCATTTTCCATGAATTCTCTCGTTTTTGCAGAGGCTCGACTCTCCGTCCGACTCTCCGCCCTTCTGATCACTTCCTCTTCCGTTCGAAGAAGTCGACGATGCAGGGCTCGAAACAGACGTCGGCCTCGGAGGCTCCTCCCTCGTCCGAGTCGTCGTCGTCGTCGTCCATGATCTTCGCGGCGACCCTCGCGATCGCCTCGCACTCACGGTCGCCCTCGCACAGGACGGTGACGTCCTCCGCGTAGCCAGCGTCGCACTGCGCCTCCGACGCCAGACCCAGGTAGGGACCCTGAGAGTGCATTTGCATCGCGAATTCACCGTCGAGTTCACCGAAGGCGGATGAATATAGAATGAACATTTCGTTTATCGAATTGCCGACTTTCCACGAACGTCCTTTGGAATTAGAGGATTGCCAACTTCCCTCGTGTTGAACGATATCCATTCGAGGCAGCGACGTCGTGACAACATCGAGCAAAGGATGATTTTTCAACGTAACATTGTTGCCTCCATTTGTGCCAAACATTCCTCAACGTGCCCAATGTCGATGCAATTTTCAATTGAAACACGGCTCAACGTTGAAAATACGCTGTCACATTATGTCACCGTTGAATTTTCAGCGTTTGGGCATTACAGTATCTCCACCTTTTCTTTAGACTAAACCAACCGTAATAAGTCGTAATATAGATCAGATAATGAGATTGATTGTATATTTGATCGATGATAGCACTCTATTAGGTACTGTCATCCCACGGAGAGATCCCCAGGAGGGATGTTAGTACTCCATTGAGTACTAACCTCCAGGATGAGCTTGTATTTCGTCTACTGGACCAGAATTCGAATTAAGTTGAGTGATGCAAACCTTTCCGTCCGGCAGAGAAAGTACATGTCTAGCATCATCTCCAGATTTATCTCATTCTAGAAGAGAAGCCAATGTAGAGACTTAAAAATATTGAGTGTGTCCCCTCGGACCCTCTGGCCAGTACAGGCTTCCCCAGCTTCATTTCACAATTTTTTTATTCAGAATATCATACGTTTTTACTACTTCTTCTAGCAACTATCATGCTCCATCTCGTGCCCTTGATTCGGAAGAATATCATAATTTCTACTCTGCCAGAGCTTTACGGAGCACAGAGATATCCAATTTCTCCCATTCCTCTCAGATAGCTTTCGAAAGTCCACTCCAAAGTTTTATTGCGCCGATTCCCAAGGGCACGCTTCAGCAAGCCAAGCGCACAGAAATCTAAGCCCTGCTTGAATGACAAAAACTCTGTTTTCAGCACTAAATAGATGGGTTCTTTCCACGGACAGAAAGGTGCAGCCGAGTTCCATCGAAAGTTATACTTGTACCACTCACCGGCCAGGTGGCCCTCGCATAATTTGCAGGCATTTGTATTCCTCTCCCTGATGTGTTTTGGACCGAGGACACGGACTTTCATCTTGTGTTTTCCTTATAATTTGAGATCCTCACGAACGACCCTGCTCATGGTTCCCTTGGACGCCGGCAGTCGGCATGCAAGTAATCTCTTGAATTTCATTTTCTTGAATCTCTTTTTCGAGAAATGCGTAACTTCAGAAAGGAGCTTCTCGTTACGTACTGGTCTTGCGTTAGGCTTTATGTCTGAAATTCACGTCTTTCTTCGCTTCTCGCCTCATTCCATTGTAAATGATGATATCTGAGACGGCTTTTTTGGAAACAGGCCATCTTTTTCAAGAAACACTAAAGAATCATCATTTTGTGTGAGTAACCGTTCATGGAAAGATGTTCCACACGCATCTCCACGACACAGTCAACATGCATGATTAAACGCTTACGCAATGACCCCTCATTTCCCATAACAAAAGTTCACTTCGTTACACGAAAGCTATTCATTCTTTCCCCATGAGTAAACGGATTTTGAAATCGGTCAAATGAAGCTGGGGGAGCCTGTAGTACTTGGAGTCTCCTTCTACCAGCTTATTTTCTTAAACGGGTCTATCCAGAAATTCCTAAGCCTTCCCCGTACTGCGGGGAAAAAAAAAACTGGAGACTCGTTCCAATGGCACCAGAGTGAGAATCGCTGAATCGGCGCTTAGGCGCCATCTCGCGCCGATTGGTGAAACCTATTTAAAAAGGTGGATGCCTCAATGTTTCCACTGTTTATCAATGGTGACACGAAGTTCTTGCGTTGAATGAGTAGTATTCCTAAGTCTTCGTGCGATTAAAAACTCTTTTTACAGGAGTGGAACTCTACTTACTTCCTCTAATGCAGTCAGAGAATGAAATGTTCCAAAACATCCGAATCTCCTTCCCCTTACAAATATGAAACTTGAAATTGGGTTCTCTTCTTCCGAAACGATAATCATCTGATGTCAGGTTTCTCATGATGCGACCTTGGGTGTCGAATCATCCTCTCAACAACCTCAAATCCAGAGTTTTCAAGAGACTCATTGGACTGGGTCATGGGACTCGTGGGACCTTTTTAATCCCATTTGTTGAAGAATTCTTATGTCTTTCCTTGCAGTGCATAAGCAGGAAGGTCGGGGACCGTCTGGCAAAAATATTAGCAATATATCCAGCTGTATCAGGTAATGACCCGCTATAGAGGCTACTTTAGCGTGATCTGGCATTGGTTATGAAAATCTTTGTTCGAGCCGCTGCTAGATGGATACCACAGTTATGCTTAAAGAAAATGTCCCTCTAACGTTTAGCCGTTAGCGCGTTGCGATGTTATCGTACGCTTCCCTTCCGCGCGACGGAGTCCGATTAGACCAGAAACTGCGCTAAGAATTAATGTTAATGTAATTCCTGCCTTCAACTAATTTTAAAGTTTTGAAATTCTTGATACAAATTCCACTCGGATTCATCCAAAAAGGCAGGATTAACCTCGTTCGTATCCATCTGCATGCCGACTTTCGCATCGATTCGGTACCGTTTCGGTTAGTGTTCGATCGAGTCGGCGGAAACGGCGAACGGCGAAAAGGGAAACGTACGCAGGCAGAGCAGATCTCGTGGCGGTTGCACGCGTCGACGAGGAGGTGTCGATAGTCCCCGGCCTCCTCTGCCACCTCTTGGCAGTCCGACACCAGCTCCAGCACCGCCGGGCAGTCTTCCTCTGCGAAAACCTCATTTATCGTCTGCAGTTCTCTTTGTGTCCATAAATTTACACTCTATTTTCTCCTGACGTGGCTGGTAAAGTGAATACTGCACTCCTGTCCGTTTCATTGCCTTTCATCTCTTAAGAATATCAATTTTTTTCAAGTACAGTTTAAAATGGTGAAATTGCGTTCCTCTCCTCAATCTGCATCAAGTGGGAGAGATGACGAAAGCGAAAATGAACAAAAATTTGCCTCACTTTTTCCCTTCTTAATTCCTTTTCTTTTTTGCGTTGAAATTGAACCGAGAACGGACCTGAAAGAGGCATGATCCCGCAGCAAGTGGTCCTGCATAAAAAAATCTCCCGATTGGCAATCCCGAGATTGCGTGATCTTGTCCGATCGAGGGTTAGCGTAATCCCGTTTGGGGATATCCGTCCCTCAAAATCCCCCAGTTTCTCGGGATTTTTGTCCTCTCCGCGAATCATCAATCAGCTGTCTTCTTCTCCCCCCCTCCTCCCTCAACCTCCACCTCTCCTCCCCCCTCTCGCATTCCATTTAATTGAATCTTGCTTGAAGTGGTTTTTCCTCTTTCCTTCTCGAGACTACCCCGCTCTGTCTTCTCCCTTTTCCAGTGGAATTCACGCGATTCCATAATATCACCTATAGCTTGACCCTCTCATTCATTCCATGACTTTCGCGTTTTACTGTCGCGCCAATTTTTCTCTGTTCGTTTTGGATTCCTCCAAACGTGGCGCGAGATGAAAATGGGCATATCGCCCGGCGGACGACAGCGTTGACGTCGCGCCGATTGCCTGCCCCTCCCCCCCCCTCCTCCATCCCATTTGCTCCTCCTCATGCTGATTCAGCCGAGTCGACCGTCGACACGGCAAGAACCAGTCGGGAGACCCAGGGACGTGGCCCAACTACGAGCAATTAAAATAATCGGCTGGGAAGCCAGAGCGATACCCGGCACCGGCTCGCCCATCGGACGGAGCCAAAACAGGGCAAACAGTACGCAGCATTCATTCCTGCGGCTTCATGAAAAGGAAACCCCTAACGCATGAAGCATTCATTCCGGGAAACCCACGAGAGGCGATGAAATCATCGCGATTTCTCTTCCGGGGCTTCCCTCATCCTCCGTTCGTTATTCCTTGGAGCAGGAAACCGGCCTCACCTACGGAATCCATCCCCTGCCGCTTCTTCACCACGAACCGCTTCTTCTTGTTCCGTTTCTTGCGATCGTCCTCCTCCTCTCCGTGCGGCGGCTTCTTCATCGCTCCGTCGCTCCCCGGCTTCTTCTTCTCCTGCTCGTCTGGGGAAAGGAAGGAGAATGACTCGGGCGCTAGCGGACGACGTCAGTGACGTCACGGCGCGGATTTTCACCCCTCGGCGACGAACCTCGGGGTCCGAAAACGACGTCCTCCATCGTGGTTCTATATCTATCTTTGTTCCAGCGATCGAATCCTTTGTGAGCGGGGGGGGCCTCTCGCTTGCGGCGGTCGTAGCCGAAGTAGTCGGACCACTCCCAAGTGCCTGCAAGCACACAACGACGGTTATCGTGCGGTTATCGAGCGGTTAGATTGGGTTCCGTCCCGGGATCGAGACTTGCAGGCCATTGGGCTGCATCGACGTGGGAAACGGTCCCGGTAGCGCAAGTTATCCGACGTTATCCGGATGTGAGGATATCCGGCGGTCGTATGTCGGATGTCTTGTGGTAGTGGGGGAATCACCGTTTTTAGAGTCTTTTCGCTTTTTTCCCCCGACTCTTTCCGACGTTCTCAAATGCGTCATGCCGGAAAAAAATCAACCACGATTTATCTATAAGTGTCGCGAAATTTCAAGGGTTTCCCGTCTATGCTGACATTTCTCGGAACGATCACGACAGAGGCGTCAGCCTCTCAAATATTTAGCAGCAATACGATCTCAAAATGAAGTTTTCCTTTTAAATGCCACTCGGCTCGAGACCGGCTTCTGTGAACGACCCCCATCGACAGGGCCTTCGAGATCATAGACTAGACCGGGTTGCCCTCGTGATTAATAATCTAAACCGAGTTGCTCTCGAGATCATAGACTAGACCGGGTTGCCATGGAAATCATAGACTTGACTGGGTTGCCCTCACTGTGCGGAGCGGGATGCTGCGGACCCCTCTCGTCTTCCTCGCTCTCCTCCTCCTCCTCGGGGGATCCGCGTCGAGGTCCCCAGGACCGCTTCTTCTTCTTGTCGTCGTCGTAGGGGAAGGGGCGGCGGCGGGGGTGGAACCAGGGCTCGGCGCGCCACAGCTCCGATCGTTTTCGCTTGCGGAGGTCACCGTTCTCGAGGAGTTCCTCGAGTTCGGCGGATGTGAGGGGGTGGGACTTCTTTCGGCGGTACATGAAGCCGCCGCCTTCCGGTCGTCTCCGTCGCCAGTCCTCCTGGGTAGGGAGTGTCGTGTTTTTTATTCGGTCTCGGACCGAAGTGCGTCGTTAGTCATCGGTAGAAAGAGATCATCTCGAACGTCTGAAGGTTTTCAATACTGGGCTAGGAAAATTTTTCTTGTATTTTCATGCGGCACGGCTCTAATCCCGCATCGCACGTTTCAATCAGACATACTGCAGCTATTAAAATGCATTCGTTTGCGGGAAATACGTGAAAAAAATCTGAATTTTTTTTTCTGAAAGTCTCACGCACTCACCTCCTCGGAGCTGCCCTCTTCGTCGAACCCATGAAACATCCTCTTCTTCCTGTACATCCACGGATTGCCCCAGGGCGGCGGGACCATGTACATCCGCTTCTTCCTCAGCGCCATCCGCTTCCGTTTCTCGTCGTCCCACTCGCGCGAATCGCCTTCCTCGCTCGATGAATCCTCCCGGCTGTTCGCCAGCCATGGCGGGATCCCGTAGCGACGGGAGCGATGCATCGGGTAGCGGTACCTGCATCGGACGATGAAATTACCATTTTTTGGGCCCATCGACAGGCGTTTCTGAGGATTTCACTCCTCAAATTTCTAAGTTCGTGAAAAATTAACGTTGCGCTCGAGAGTTGACTGGAGCAACTTCTCAGCGGTGGTATAGAGACTCAAATTTCATGACGGTGGCTTAACAGTATCCTGTGTCAAGACTTTCAATAAGTGTGAGGTAATATTGTAATATTTGTGTAATATTTCAACCGATTTTTAACAATTTTAATGACGCCGCAGTAGTTTCTTCTGTGAGACACTTACTTTTAAGCATACGACTCTCCACGTATCGTAAAAGACGCAGAAAAGGGCGATTGCGGAGATCGATTCTCCATCTAAATGTGGCTGCTGTTACCACGGCAACCGATATTGATATGAGGGACTATGAAGAGCTCGTGAGCCTTCACGAATGCGGGTACTTGGAACATTGGGTCGATTCTATCACAAACAACTACGCAGTGATCGTGACTCCATTGACCCGATGGAGACCGCGACGATCTCGATGATAAAATAAATTTAAAACTATGAAATGAAAATAAAATCATGAAGTAAAAATAATTTTTAAAATAAATATATAATAATTATTATTATTATTCTAATAGAGTCATTATTTGAGGTTTTGGAGATACCAGACCTATGGTACCCGATGTTGGTACCCTCGTAGGCCCGGCTCGGCTCGGGAGATCGCTTCTCCCGGCTCCCGTCTTCCTTCTCCCCGCCGGGCAAGTCTTCGTGCTCGGCCAGCGCCACCACCGCCAGACTCACCACCGCCAACGCCAATAACTTCATCTTGGATCTGCACAGAGGAGCCGTACGCTTTCATCGACGCGAGTGGAAGAGGTCGAAAGGTGGAGGAATCTCAAAAGAATGAAGTGGGTCGACGAATCGTCGGCCCCACGAGAGAAGTAGGTCGGCCTTCTCGCAAGAGAGAGTTGCTGGCACTTTCGCAGATACTATGTAAGGACTTTACAGCTCTAAAGGACTTTAAAGTAATCGAATAAATTATTTCTACTGAGGAGCTTCTCCAGGAAAAAAGTCAACAGGGTTGAGATCTCACGCAAGCAGAAAAATACATAAAATTTCGATGGGAAACGCTTGACTTCTCTTGTAATTTTCGCGATTTAATTCTAAAAATATCCGCGAAGGAGTCGCGGATGTCTTCAATTAATATGTGGTAGTTTTCGCTTTCTAATTCTCTTTTACGACCTTAATTAATTACGACCTTAATTTAAAAAATGGCGTTATTCCCACTCGCCGCTTGCCGCGAAAAGGCGGCTCGAAAAGGTGGCTCGAAGAGTAAAGAACGTGGAAAGTCGGCGAAGAAGACCGACTATGAGGAAATTTTCGCTACTTCGCTGGCATTCCCGATGAAGATGACGCTTGGTAAAGGATGAAGGCTAAAGGATAAAGGACGCGGGTAAGCTTGACGGATGGGAGCCGGGTCGATCAATTCCACCATTTTCCTCACATTTTCCTTTGACTCTCATACTTTCCTCTGTTCCTCATATTTTCCTCATTTTTTGCCATTCTCGGCGGGATCGGAAGAATACGTGGGTCACTCCGAAAGTTTTAATGCTTTCCACAAAGAAATGAAGGTGAACTTGTTGAGGCCTTCTCATTGATTGAATGGACATCTTCATAGCTGCTTGCGTAAGTTTCATCCTCTTTCTTCCATAGGTAATGAAATTAGATCAATTTGAGTGGAAGCGAGTATGAAGATCTCGTAACCAGCACTGTAAAAAAAATTTAGGAAATTTCCAAGTCTCCATCGTAAAATATCCGACTAAAAGCATGTAAACCCTCTAATGGACAAAAAAATGTTCCTGTATATCTTCCGAAATCCGACTTCGTTTTATTTGCGGAATTTTCCCCTTCTTTTTCACAAAATATTACAGCTAAGGGTCCTACATTCGAATTTCGAAGTTTAAGCGAACGATCCTTTTCCTCATTCGTGTCGGAAAAGTCTGTTTCGAATATTCTCGGATAAACCTTCCCGATCGTTCGGACCTTTCCGTATCGACACCTTAGGGAAGCCACCGATACCTTTAGTTTACATTCCGAATGTTAGATGACTCCCAGTAGCCTCCGATATCCCCTTAATTATGACATCGTGATGCTTCGGAAAACGCACGGTTTTCATTCTCAAGAAGAAAGGTATTTTTTATGTGTATTTCCCGATCGGATAAAGGGAAACGAAGAGCATCACAGCTTCTTCTTCCCGTCGGGAGAGGAACTGCTCTAAAACGATGGACGCCCTGCTTCACCGACATCACCTACATTTCCTGGCTGTCGGCGGCCCGTAATTATCAAACCAAAGTATAAAAGATGCAGGAGTCCGTCGTTCTCCTCTAGCACTCTATTTGAGAAGAGAGAGAGAGGTGAGGATGGGTCGCGATCTTTTCCAGAAAGTGATAAAAAGGAGGTCCTGAAAAATAGAACAAACAGCTTCTCCGTGTTTGAGATGCACCAAATACTCACGGATTAATAAGGGGAGGTTGCGTAACGATAATGAAATCCCATTTATCATGCAGTATTTCAAATGGAAATGAGCCATTTCTGAATAATGAAGGCAATTGAGGAAAACCCGGAGACGGAAATTTACTTCCGTGAACGGAAATCCGATTCCGACTATGGATTGGAATTTTCCGGGAAATGAGAGGAAAGCTCCATTACTCGCTTTAGTCGGAGGGATAGATTCTGAGGTTTTTTTCGGAACAGCATGTTTGCTTTTAAAAATAGGAGACCTGGTTTCCGCCATGAATCTGAATCCCCTTCTCCGCGCTTTAGACGGATACTCCGTTTCCGATGCCTTAATCGGAATTATTTTTTTACAGTGAGCGATGTTTCATCATTTTCCACAACTAGAAGTGGGCATTCTCAGCTGATGCTTGTCTGAATGAGAAGTTTGAACTTCGTGCTGCGAAGTCCTTTCATGTGCGACGTTTTTCTAGTGGTATCGCCCCTCTCAGAGCGAGAAGAATGACGAGGGACTGACTGTCTGGGTCCTCTCTGACAGCAGGGACTCGATAATAAAGAAATCAAATCATTACAGTCAGTGTTAGTGTTTAAAAAAATTATGAATAAAAGATGAACCCCATTGGGTGTCCTCATCAGTAAATACACAATTTCAACATTTGGTTAAAATGACTGACGTCACTGACGTCAGAGAGTGCTAAGCTCCGGGTTCCAAGTCAAAATTTCCAAGGGTTCCAAGGAAAAAAGTTTTCCTTAATTGAAGAGGTAGTTCCAGTTCAGCACCTTTGAATATAATATGAGAAGGGTTTGCTCCTCAAAAAAAATCCCCAGACATTCCATTATGGCGATACTCAGGTGAGGCGGCTCCCACGCATTTCTGAAGAAGGAGGCTTAGAAATGATAAATCAGTTGAGGGAAAGGCGAAGTCGTTTCTCACCAGGTGTCACCACTTGCTTCCACTCATTGCGCTTCAGTGTCGCTGAATTGTCAGAAGAAACAGACAAAACTCACACAGGCAACTTAAAAGAAGTTCATCTGACAAATGAATTGGTTTTTAATATATTGTTTTCTTTTGCATGAGCAAAGTCTAAAAACTTTCGGAGTGACCCACGTAGATAGGGTTATCGGAGGGCTCTGCGAATTTCCGCAAATCTTCGCGTTACCGCATGAAACTATGCTCTCTGCCAGCAAATAAGCACCGCACATTTTGAGCGCGAATTGAGAAAATACATATATTTTTTAGATCTGGAAATGACAGTTTTTGAGTTTGGAGCAGGAATGCTAAATTACATTCGCAGCATCTTTTGCGATCACGACTTTTCACCGAGACAGTTCAAGATGAGAAGGCTCGGTATCAAGATAAGACGAAGAGCCGTCTTCATTTCGTTTCATTTCCGACCGAATTTCATTCCGCGAGCAGAACTTCATCCCATTAGCATAATAAATGGGAGCGAATTTCACGAGTCGTCTGGGACGAGCCATTCATCAGACGTTCATCAGCCATTCATCAGCTGTCGTGGAAGCGGCTGGGGGGAGCTGATAAAGGAGGAATGCAATAAAGCCTCTTCTTTCTCATCTTGTGGGTTTGTGGGTGCTTGTTGGTGTATGTGGGTGGATGTGGGGTGTCTGGAATGGCTTTCACGAAATTGGATTCGTCGCTTCCCTCCGCCTCCCTCTGCCCCCCCCCCCCCAACCTCCCTTCCCCGTCCCCCGCCCCCCGCCGTTTTCCTCCTCTTTTCTTCTCTCGGGGAAAATGAATGCTCAAAATGCGCGATGAAGTCGGAAATTGGCATTAGGCGGAAAGATGGAAACTCTTCATCATTTAATTTAATACCTCTCCCTTCTCTCTTTTTGCAAAAATTTCCTAAAATCACAAATAAAAAATTTCGAAATTCATTCACCGAGTCCAACCAATGCTAACATCGTTGCAACTCCACGAACAATTCAGGAATGGACTTTTCTCCCTGGGAAATACCCAATTTTATTCTACCAGAATGAGAGATCGTCGTTTTCGTATCCGCCGAATTTTTCCGCGACGCTTCGCGAAGGAAACAAGCGACTGCCGCAGAAAGTCGGAACGAGCTGTAAATCTCGCAAACCTATTGCCTTGCCTATTCGCAAACACAAAGAGTCGCAAGAAAATCTGCGAAAACTTTGTCAGCCAAAGTATTTTTTTCACAAAAATTTTTGCAGATTTGCATATTTTTCGCATATTTATGTTCGACGATTTGATTTTGCGGCTCGACGATGCCATCGCTTCGTTGAGGGAAACGGCATCATGAAATTTAGCATTTATGCTCGAGTTTAAATTAAACGTGCGAAAGATTCTACTTAACAACTTAGAGGTCCAAATTCAAATTTTTTTTTAATATTTAAAACTAATTTAAATTTAAAAACTTTAAAATGTTTAATTTATTCCGGGGTGACTTCGACCCGACGTCGGAAACGACTCGCATTTGCAAGGTGATTTTTTCTTGCTTCATCTCGGCCACGAAATATCATCGAGTAATTACTCGTCTCTTGTGTCGTTAATTAGTTAATTGCCACGGCGTCTGCATGGTTTTCACCCTTTTTCCGGTTTGTTTCTCGCGGGCTATTTTCGACAAGGTCGTGAAAAAAATCCTCATATTCTTTGTTGAGGCATTTCCCTGAAACTCTTTTGCATCGATGTGAAGTGCAAACAACAGAATAATTTTCCACGTAACGCTTAGGAATGTCCGTCAAAATGCAAACGATAGAGAAGCAGTTTTCACTGCGGAAGTTTGGCAGAAGAAACGGCAGGAAGCGGCTTTTCTCCTCTAATGATCGGCTATGTGCAGAAAGGAATGGGTATTTTGTGCATCAACGTTCGAGGGAGGCTCTGTCCTTGAATGCGACTTCAAATTCAATACGATGCAGAATCACATTGGGCTATATGAATAGAAAATATTCAAAAATTCCCTGGAGCACCAGAAATAGAGACCGCCCCGGGTCTCCCGCCGACCTCTCCCGTGTTCGGAGTTATACACTAGTTCAGGGGTGTCAAACTTGATTAGGCTGGGGGCCGGATGGAAGCCTTCAGAGATGATTAGGGGCCACAATAAAAATCCAGCACCTAATCTTTACTGCAAACAGGTTGAAATTTGCAGTACTTTTTCGTAACCAAATGTTGAGGAAGACTTCGAGGGTCGAACAAGGTGGACTGGCGGGTCGAACCCGGCCCGCGGGCGGCCAGTTTGACACCAATGCACTAGTTGAATAAACGTGAAGCGAAAAGTGAGTGCTAGGCCTCATAAGCCTCGGCACCCATTATTCCCATTAACCAGTACTAAAATTACAATT